CTGTTGGCGCGAGGCAGGCGGTCAAGGCCGACATGCACAAGGCCGCGGAGGCGCTCAAGCAGGGGCTCGACGAGGCTGGCTTCGAGGTCTCCACCAAGACTGTGCTGGCGTGCTCGCATCCCCCGCTGGGGCGGTCCATCGCTGGCGGCCTGGCGCGGCTTGGCGTGCCCGCCTCCTACGCGGCGCACGCGATGGTTCTCGGCGTTGACACGGCCTGCGGGCGCCGTCGGTGCAGGAGGCGCGCCCAGAGGCGCTTCGAGGCTGCCAGGTCTCGGCCAGGCAGGATCCTCCGCATGCGCAGGGAGGTCCACATGGCCAAGATCACGAAGATGTCGTCCGTGGACGACGGGGGCGCAGCCTCAGGCGACGCACGGCCACCAGGTCGCTGGCCTCGCGCCCTCGTCGATCCTGGCGATGCGCCGTGGCGCCGCCGCCTCAGCTGTCGGCAAGGGGCCCGGCAGGTGCCTCACGTCGACCTTGGCGGCCTTGTATGGGCAGCGCGACCCAGGGCTGGAGCTTCGGAGGCAGGTTGTCAGCCAGTGGCTCGAGCTCTGGCGCACGCGGCCTGAGGTTCACGGTCGGGTGCGCCGCGCCTGGCCCCGACTGCCCCAGGCCCTGTCGCAGGCAGGGCCGCGTCGCTGGCGGCGCGTCCGCGGGCCTGCTGCTGCCGTGATCGCGGTGCTCCTGGACGCCGAGTGGCGGCCCGAGTCGCCCCAGCGCTGGGCCCGCCCGACAGGGCCCAATGCAGTCGACGAGTGGATCATCCCTGGCCCCGACGCGGAGTGCTTCGCCGTCGCCGACGCGCCCGAGCTCTTGGACGACCTCATGGCAGACTTCGCGAGGCGCATGTGGCAGAGGGCCGCGCTGCACCCAGCAGGCGACAGCCTCTGCAACGGCGCCGACATGATGCATGCGCAGCGGGAGCTCAGGCGCTTCACGGAGGCGGGGGCTCTCGACCTGTGGGCGCAGACGGTCGCCATCGTCAGCGGCGGCCAGTGGACGAGGGAGCGCCAGCAGCAGGCAGGTTACGACTCCGAGGTGACCTGCCAGCGCTGCGGCGCTGAGAAGGAAAGGCTACTTCATCGAATTTGGAGCTGCCCGTGCAATACGGGCCATGCAGATTTTGACGCCAGCGAATGTTTGATTGTGCGTGCGAGGGCGGGCTGGGAGCAAGACCCTGCCTTGAGGTTGAGAGGCATGTGCCCATCCGACCTCACCACGTTCATCTTTGACGAGTGCCAGGCGGACTGGGTCGAGCACCAGGGCGAGCCGCTCGACAGTTGCAGGGTCGAGGGCAATGAGGTGCTCGACGTGTTCGGTGACGGCTCTGGCGGCCCGCGCGCCGACGACCCTCGGCGGCGACGCATCGAAGCTGCTGCTGTCGCACTTCGGCAGGAGGGTGAGTCGTGGCCGCCCGCCGCCATCGTCACTGGCGGGCTCCGAGGGCGCAGGCAGGCTGTACCCAGAGCTGAGCTGCTCGCTCTCGTCCTGTGCCTGGAGAGCTCGACAGGAAAAAATCGCTTTCACACTGACTGCAGGTCTCTGTGGGACGGTTGGAATGCTGGCCGTCACACTTCGCTTATAGGTAGCAATGGAGACCTCTGGGTCCGCTTGAAGCAGGCGTTGATCAAGCGTGGCAGCAGCAGTAGTGATATTGAGGTTGTTTGGGCCCCCAGTCACCTTGACGAGGACCCCGATCGGATTGTGAATGAGGGCCTCCAGTATGTTGCTGCTGGGAATAGTTGTGCTGATAAGGGGGCTGGGGCTGCCGCGGCGCGGTCGAGCCGATGCATGATCGGTGATGCACCGCGCACCGGCGAGTGGGATGCGGTTGCCGCGCTCGTGAGGCGACGGGCCCGCCGAGCGCTCGCGGAATCGATTTCATTTGATCCGTGGAATTCTAAGCGTGTCGTGCGCGTCCGCCCTCCTGCTCAGTCTCGCCTCCAGCGCACCCTTGCTCGTAGCCCCCACCAGTGGACTCGGATCCATGGGAGATGGGCCTGCACGGCGTGCCGCCGAATCGTTCCCTCGGCCCAAGTCCTGGATGCCGCCCGCACCCCCTGTTCTGGAGGGGGCCCTTTCCCCTCGGGCGCGTCGGCGATCCAGGGGCCCATTTGTTCTGGCAAAGTGCAGATCCACGAGCCGCACGTGATGCACAAATGGTTTGAGTTTTCTATGTGTTTCTGTTCCGTTTGTGGCAAAACGGCGTCCACGGATTTCCGCCATTTCAACCAGCCCTGCCAGATCACGAGGAAGGGTAAAGAGAACCTTTCCCGAATCTCCCGAGGCCGCCACCCGTGCCCCCAAGGAGCCCCCAAGGCCGTCGCGCTGGCCCAGAGGGCCTTCGCTGGGACGGCCTCGAGGTCGAGGCCCTCGGGACGGGCCGCGGGTGGCGGTGCCTCCTCGTAGGCGTAGGGCGGGACACGGCGTCCCACGGCTCCTCCTCCTCCTCCTCCTCCTCCTCCTCCTCCTCCTCCTCCTCCTCCTCCTCCTCCTCCTC